GTGTGTGTGTGTGTGTGTGTGTGTGTGTGTGTGTGTGTGTCTCAGGGTACGCCATTCTGCAGGCCATCATGGAGAAAGCCGGACTGGATGACTGGCAGGTCAGCGCCATCTGTGTGGAAAACTTCAATGACGCCAACTACCGCCGCCTGCTGGAGGACCTGGAGCGCCGCGAGGAGAAGAAGTTCGTCATCGACCTGGAGGCCGAGAGGCTGCAGAACATGCTGGAGCAGGTGATCAATCAATCAATAAATCATAAAGCATGTTTCAGCAACACGGCAGTTTGTGAAAACAAAGCATCATAAACGCATCATACAGTCAGCAGCTGGGAAAACTAATAACAGATTTGACGTGTTGTTGAGTTCTATCGTTAAAGTGATTGATACAGATCAAATATCATGATCAATGTTTCAATTATTGTTCAAAGGAATCTAAACATATGGAGGTTTCAGCCTGGATTTAAAGCTGCAGGATGGAACTTTCATTAAAAATATTTTTGTGAAACTGTCCCCATGTTGTGACAGTTTGTAATAAGAGATAATCTGTGAAAAAGTCGACCTCTGCCTTCTCTGAGCTGCGAAGACTCTGCTGCAGCAATTAATGTGACTAAAGATAAACGCATGCATGAGTTTCTCACTCGTTCTAAACCTGAGATGCTCTTCAGGTGGTGGAAGGCCTACTTTGTAACCGTCTCTATGTGACTCTGAAGGTTCAGAGTTCAGCTGGTTTTTACCTTCTGGCTGCAGCTCTCAGGTTGCAGCGTTGCCTTCAGCTCTGCAGGGATTTAATGCGTCGTCATGCCAACATCTTCAAAGAGTGTTTCCCTCCCAGTCAGGCGGTACTGGGAGGACGCTGTACCTGCTAATTAGACCAGTTTGAACCTGGGAAACGTCTGTTTTCATCTCCAGTGATGGTCGCTGGCAGCAGCTCACTCAGAATCCGCTCCTCCCTCCACTTCCTCCTGCTCCTCTTCATCATTTCCGCCTCCATCTCTCTGCTGACTGCTTCTGCTGCCGACTCTCAGCCTAATCTGAAGTTTATTTATTTACATTTTTACCAATTATGTTAAAACTAGAGCTGTAACGTTTTTCTGTTTATTTGTGCTGCTGAACTCTCTCACTTCCATCAGTGAGTTGTTGATTAATGCTAAATGCTATTAGCATAAAAAACTTTTCATCCAAGGGATTTTATTTATTGATAAAAACGTCCCGGTTCTGTAGAAACATAAAAGCTATGAATGGCTGTTGAAAATGAGGCTCCTTTTTTTTATTGACTGAAGATGAAAACATGAATTAAAAACTGGAATAAACATTTTTTTTTCCATTCTGCTGCTTTTTATTTTTATTACCTTGAATAAAATTTCAGATTTTTTTTTCATTCATAATTTTCTTTAGCTTTGAACTGAACCAGTTCTGTTTAAAACCCTGGAAGGATTTTATTAAAGACTTTTTTTGTTTTCAGTTCAGGTCTGTGAAATGTTTCATGCAGTGAAAGAAATATTTCATTGGTTGAGGAAAATAATCTACTGCGTTAATAATTCCTGTAGCTTTCTTCTAAAGCACATCATCAGTTTTTATGTTTGATTTATTAGAGATTTCATGTTGCCCAAAAGCAACTTTTCAATAAAATGCTGCTTCCTAGATGTAAATAATGAGTTAAATTATCTTTTAGCAGAAGGAACCAATAACCAATATTAGCACATGTTTTCCCGCTTCAGTTTTCATCAGCTTTAAAACGCAGCCTGGATGCAGATGAGGGAGGTGAAAGGTTGACGGTTCAGTTTCCGAGGCAGAGCTCCTAATCCGGTTAATGACGAAGCTGCTGAGTCACTGCGGGATGCGGGTCAGCTTCCGGCGCCTCGTTAGCGTGGAGTCAGAGGTTCAGAGAGCAGTCAACAGGAAACGCATCACCACTGCAGTCCGGCTGAAGATCAGGACTGGAAACCAGACAGATAAAGTCTGTTTAATCAGACAGAAACCTTCCTTTGAGCTCCATCTGACACCAGTTCAGTTTAATCTGCTTTTACCCAACTCCAATCCGCTTTAACCCAACTCCAGTCCGCTCTAACCCAACTCCAGTCCGCTCTAACCCAACTCCAGTCCGCTCTAACCCAACTCCAGTCCGCTCTAACCCAACTCCAGTCCGCTCTAACCCAACTCCAGTCCGCTCTAACCCAACTCCAGTCCGCTTGTCTATAAAGTCCGGTTCGTTTTTTTGGAGTGTGAATACTAATCAAGTTCTGGTCCTCCAAACCTCGATCTGGGTGCGGTTGAAGTGAACTCTGGTTCGGTTTGAACACCAATTGCAAACGGAGATCGTTGCAAAAGCAGGAAATGGACTACAGGTTAGGGCATTCTGGGTAAATACAACCAAAACAAGCATGTTAGCCTAGCGCTAGCGAGAGAAATGGCTCGTAGTCTTTAGCCAAAGACTAAAGAGAAATCTCAGTCGACCTCTGTGGGGCACCGTTTGTAAAGGAGCAAAGTGAAACATTAACAGCAATAATCTGGGTTATTTGGCCTTCTATAAGAGAAAAAAATCTCTTGTAATCCTTTTTATTTTCGTTTCTTTTTCTCTTTTCTTGTTCAGCATTTCAGTTTAAAACAAAGGAAGAGCCTTTCCAGAGGTTTACCAATAGATCCACAGTGATGCCTGATGATGAGATCCACAGATCTCAGCCATTAAACGTGTTTTCCTCCCAGATTGTGATGTTCTGTAATCCTGTTAGATTAACTCGGCTTTGTCTTCCTCAGATTGTGAGTGTTGGGAAACATGTGAAGGGTTACCACTACATCATGGCCAACCTGGTGAGTCGGTCGCCTCCATCTTGGTTTTCCTCTCCAGGTAGTGTGACGGCGTGGAGTCGTCTGTAAACGCCACTGCTCTCGTCCTCTGCAGGGATTTAAGGATATCAACCTAGAGCGCTTCATGCATGGGGGCGCCAACGTCACCGGCTTCCAGCTGGTCAACTTCAGCAACCCCATGGTCATCAAGCTGATGCAGCGCTGGAACAAGCTGGACCAGAGGGAGTACCCGGGCTCCGACGCCCCACCCAAGGTACCAGAACCAGAACCACAACTAGAACTAGAATTAAAACCAGAACCAGGACTAGAACCAGAACCAATGACAGAGACCCTAAAACAGCTCAGAATAGGGAGAACTGAGTTTAAATCTCATTATTTAAGAATGATTTATTGCAGAGAATGTAATGAACTTGCCTTGACTAGGCCATAGACTTATCCTGACCTGCTCTAGGAAGCATTATAGGTCAGGTTTAAAGCTGAAATGTTTTAATTTCACTTTGAAGCTGAACTCTGATGTTTGTAAAATGGGGATGACTCAGCCGGTCGGAGATCTGAGGAGCGAAGTCAGAGAGGAAGAGCCGTCTGCGTGTCATCCTCCGCTGCTGCATGCAGCGATGTGACAGTCTGACCCACTTCCTGTTCAGCCGCGCACGGTTCAGGCACTGGGGCATCACGCCACGGCGGCCAGCAAACCTCCGCCCTGCAGCTCATCTCTGTGTCCAGCACAGATCTCTGCTTTAGACGCAGGAGCAGCAGAGAGGAGCCGAGTGCGTGCGTGCGTGCGTGTGTGTGTGTGATGTATTGGGCTGGGTGAAATTAAAAGTTTACACCAGTGTGATATCATCCACAGCGATGTGTGTGTGTGCGTGTGTTGATGAATTGCTCTCTCTCCTGGAAATCCACTCAGCCTAAATGAGTGGACTCCCCACTGAGACTCTGCGGTTAGACTGACACTAAGCTAACAAACAAACGCCAAGGCGACCACTGCCTCCGCCATCTTTACTCACTCAGATACATAAAAACAGCAACACTTCGGTCAAGCTCTTCTTATCGGCAGATAGAGACCTGATGAGATTAAATTTATTATTATTATTAAAATCCTAGAAATTTTAGAAGCATTTATGTCTCTGGATCTGAAGTAGGATTCCCACTCAGGCTGGAGTTTTCCTTCCGTCTAGCCATCAATTATAAAACCATTGGGCCCCAGAGCCCCTTTGGCCTCCTATGGGAGGTCAAAGGGGACAAAAAACATGCATGTATTCATTCATTACCTTTTGTCCTTTTGTCTTTTGTATTTCTCGCTTACCGTAAGTCCTGAAGGCACGTTTTTTCTCATCCAATACTTTTTTTTTTCACTTAATTGAATGGAATATTTTTCCTCACTTACTGTGTAGGCCCAATGACAAACAATAAATAAATAAATTAATAATAATAATAATTAATAATTGTACTCTGTTGTTTTTTTTTTTTGTTTTTGCTGATAAATGAGAAAAATGTATTTTTATTGCCCTTAAATATTTGGTAGAAAAACACAAATTGCTCAAATTTTGCACATTATTACTTTTTTATGCTCAGCTTCAGAAAAAAATGTTCCACAAGAAAAAAAAGGGAAGCTTAAAATATTTTAATATAATTCTTTTTTACTTGCACATGATTACATTTTTAAGACTTTTTGGGTCTTCAAAAGAAAAATAAAACATTTCAGACTAACGTATATAATCAGTCGGTGACCCATCTGTTGTTGAATTTCTTTGAATCACGGCTCAACGTGCTGCTTGTTGAGATGATTACCTGCTTCGTGTTGTCAGACAGGTTCCTCATCATGGCTGAGTTCATGATTTACGTTTCACTGGTTTTCCTTCATCATCGTTTTAAAACGGTTTTTTATTTTTACTCTGATTTTATCTGATTTTAAAATCATCTCTTCTCTAAGCATCTCTGTGGTGTGCTCCAAACAAACCGAAGCATTGCGCAGGTGTCTGGTTCACAGGGAGGTTTGTGTTGCTGAAGGTGTGATGGAAGCAGGTGCCAGGCTGTGATTGGTCGGGCAGCGGCAGGGGGCGGGGCTTAGCGCGCTTTGGAAGCCATAATGTTTCAGTGAGCAGCAGGCTAATGAATGGGGTTCAGCCCCGGCTGCAGGCAGAGTTAATAAACTCCCGCCAGCCGGGGTAATTAATGCCAGGCTGCTTCCCGGCTGGACAAAACGCTTCCCGTTACCCCCCCACAATCCCTCTATTAAACCCCTCCTCTCTATTACTCCTCAACCCCCAAAGCCAGGCTGCCGGTTCGTCTTTCACTCAATTACCTCTCTGCCCTGCCAGAGGTTAGTTTCAGGAGAATTTATGGCGCTTTAAGGGGAGCAACATTTTTACAGAGCAAATAATCAGAGGCAGCGGAGCGTCTTCAGGTCACAGATAAATGAGGGTAAATTGGTGAGTTTACCCCGGGGGCGGGGGCTCTGCTCTCGTCTTCCTCTCTGTTTCCAGGAAATAATGACTGGAGTCTCCTGCTCCCGTTACGTTGAAGAAACTCTGCACGTCCTCTGAAAACACCTGAACAGCAGAACATTAAACCTGTTGGGCTAAATCAGAGTTTAATTGGGCTCATTCCTCAGACCGGGTCGGGTCTCCTCCCGACTGCACTTACAAGGACTTTCATTTCATTCTGCCTGCTGAGTTTTAAATCGTTTTTAAAGTGTTTTAGCACCCGACAGTCAGTAGACTCGCTTTGACTTGCTCCATCTCCAGCTGCTGTGGTTCTCTTTCTCTCTGCTATGAGTCAAACCAACCAAACAACTTGTTCCCCTCCTCGCCTGTGGGGGCGCTGCACCAAGAACCACTGAAGAAGACGCAGAGTCCTTCCTTCTTCCCCAAATGGAAACAGAAATGGAGGTGTCAGATTTTAGCGGTTGTATTCGATCTGGGTTCGGTTGAAGTTAACTCTGGCTCCAAAAGCAGGAAGTGAACTGCAGCGCATGGCATTCTGGGTAAATACTACCAAAACAAACTTGCTAGCATATTGATAACAGGAGAAATTACTCGCCTTTTGCTAAAGATAAATCCTTCAACCGCTAAAGTCTGACGCCTCCATTTTGTTTTCATTTGTGAAGAAGGAATTTGCTCTCTGTGTCTTCAGAGGTTTTTCATGTCGTTTCCTTCAGTGGTTCTTGGTGCAGCGCCCCCACAGGCCAGGAGGGGAACAGGTTGCTCAACGGGTTTTGTTGGTTTGACTGAGAGCAGAGAGAAATGAACCACAGCAGCTGGAGATGGAGCAGATGATGAAGTTCTGGTTCCAGTAGAACCGGGTTTACTGGACCATCAGGAGGAAAATATCCTTAAACTCCAGACAGCCGGTCAGAAACAGACCTGGTTATCTGTTAACCCCTGCTTGTGTCTTGCAGTACACCTCTGCACTGACGTATGACGGCGTGATGGTGATGGCCGAGGCCTTCAGGACGCTGCGCAGTCGAAAGGTGGACCTGTCCCGACGGGGGAACGCCGGGGACTGCCTGGCGAACCCCGCCGCCCCCTGGAACCAGGGCAAAGAAATGGAGCGCACCCTGAAACAGGCGAGAGCAACACACCAGTGGACCCGGAGTTCATTTAGTCACCACCATGAACTGCTCCCATTTGGTCGCCTTCTAACCATAAAACTTCTGTTTTAATTGGATTTAATGTGACAAGCGGCACATAAATGTAAAGTGGAAGGAAAATAAAACATGACTCTCAACATTTTTCACAGAAAAACATCTGATGAAAAGTGATACCTGGTTTGAAAATGTACCTTTTGGTTGACATGCCTGGACACATTGTTCAAACGGCGATGCAAAGAGATAAACTACAACTGAATAAATTAATCGTAATCTAAAAAAATTTGTTTATTTCAGGAAATCAGTGGATTGGATTATGATGGAGACGGATTCATTCTTTGTCTTTATTTCTGTTTAGCTGCATGATGGCTGACATGATGATCTAGATTCACTGAAGATGTAAACAATACAAAACTGTAACATAAAGTCACAGATTTGGACAGAAATCGACCCAATTTCATCTTTCTACTTTAAAGGTTTCAAACTTTTCCATATTTTAAGTGACAGAGAACTGAAGGAGTAATGAAGTGACAAATGTTTTACTTTTTAAAGTGAAGACTCTGAAACGAAGAAATGGCCTAGAAGGTCCTACTCAAAGTTCAGACCTAAATCTAGCTGGGAACCTGTTGATTATTGACAGGAAATGTCCTGTTGTATCTGCAGAGATTTGCAGCTTCAAAAGGTCTCTGTGTGGAGCGTTAAGGAAAATCAGGAGTCGTTTTCCTTCAGCTTCACATTTATTTACTGCTTTTTTTGTTCTGTCACATAAAATCCCGATAAGAAGAGCCGTCTGTGGGCCAGCTCTGTGGATGTGGCTCAGATAAATTGGTGCAGGTCTCGTTGGTTGGTTCCCCTCTGCATGACGCCACTCTGTCTGTCTGTGCGCAGGTCCAGCTGCAGGGACTAACAGGTAATGTTGAGTTTAACGAGTTTGGGCAGAGGATCAACTACTCCATGGACGTGTTTGAGCTGAAGAACAACGGACCCAGAAGGGTAAGACTTGAAGACGAGCAGCAGGTCTCAGACTTAATTTGGGGCTTTTAGTGATTTTCTTTCAGTAGTTTTTTTTTCCCAGAGTGGAAGGATTACAGGATAACAACTGTGATGAGTTTTAAAACAACACGACAGTGGATTTTAATTAATTGGCATTGATAAGTGATGCTGAAGGTTCTGGAGTATCTCCAAATATCTTATAAAAATATATAGCTACTAAATCTTTCTCATCTGAATGTTTTAGCCGACAATGTCCCGTTATTTGTCTGACTCAGATCTCTTAGCATATTCCTGCTGGAGTCCTGTGAAAATTTCCCATACTTTCTGCAGCTGGATTATGCATAACAATTTATCAAATAATTTTTCTACAACTTTACAAGTTTTAATTCCTTCCTGTCTTTTCAGGTAATAGTGACCTGGAACATTAAATCCGGACACTTTCTGACTAACACTGTGTAAACAACATAATTAATCTTCAGCATTGACTGTTGTCAGGGTACAAGCTGCTCAGAGAATATTAATGGGAATGTAGAGTAATATTTTAGTCATTATGAGTACGCTGAGTGGATGACAGAAAATTGAAAATAAACCTCCAGTTGCTCCATTTTGTAAAAATAACATTTAAAAAGCTTCATTAAAAGCTCCAAATTAATGACATTCATTTAAATGATGAGTTGATGTACACTTCTGACCTGAACTGTGGATAAAATGTGTTTCCATTATATAACAATAAGCACCTTCACAGGATGGGCTCAATGCGTGAGCAGCATGTAACCGCCTCATTGAACAGGATTAGTTCTGGTTCTGATTCTGGTCCTGTTTCACTGTCAGTGGTTCTGTTGCACAGAATCTGGAATAATGGAGAAAGAGAAACACCACAGATCTCCACAACTTCAAATCATCCTCTACATCATTGGAGGTTGGACACACATGGCCGTTCTGGGTCCAGATTCGTTCCCAGCTTTCCCAGAATGCATTGCTGTAAACCGTTTAAAATCTACTGACGTCCAGTGTGTTTTCTGACCGGAGTCAGCTGTAAAACTGAAAGCATGAATGAAACATCTGTCCCAAAGAATCACTTCCTGAAGTGCAAACCGCACAGGTAGGAGTTTAATAACAGGTTTACACCTGTGGAGGCGCTATAAGCTCATGTTGTGTCATTGATGGATGGCGGGTATCGACATGGTTGAAGTTAGCGCTTTAGCATTAGCTTCCCCAAATACTGTGTTGGTGTAACAGTTTATTGTCAGTGGAACAGTTTATGGTTAGCGTTTTACTGTTAGCATATCTAATGTTGTAGCTAGCAGTGCCCACCTGTTCGTTAAACCAACTCTGCTGTTTTAATAGCAAGCCTGAATGACGGCAGAGGCTTGTTGATGTGCCAAATGCTATAGCGTGTGTGTACATATATAGTATATTGTATGTATTTTTGACCCTGTTTTGATAAAAAGACAGGCTGAGCAGCAGCTTTGATGGGTTTTCCCTTGTTTTCTTGTGCCTTCGTCTAAACATGCCCAAGTCGTCTCACCTGCTCACAGCTTTTGCAGCATCAGCTGCTTAACAGACGGGTGTGTGTAAAGAGTAGCTCTGCTTCTCCACTGCCTGTAAATCAGAATAGTATCAGAGATGTGTTCAGGCTGCTGTGATAGATGAAGTGGTTTGGGGCTGGTAGGATTTAATGCGTGTTGCATCATTTTCTGTTATCATAAGTGAGGTGTAAAAAAACAGCCTTGGGCAGCATCTCCGCCTCTAGTCTGAGAGGATGGATGTGTGTGGAAGAAATGGAGGCGAAGGCGGGAGCGGCTGAGAGAGTGATGGGGAGAGGATGAAGTGAAACAGAAGGCAATCAAGGTATGCTGGTGGAGGAGAGGAGTTTCCATCAGTCAGAAGCTGCTTTGGCCGGCTCCAGGATGCGTGGGTGTTGGTGTGTGTTTGTGTTAGGTCAGAGCCTCGCCCCCACACTCTGCATGTCCTTCAATCATCCTGAGGCCGAGTGCCGCCGGCCCTGACCCGCCGCCTCCACTCTGTCTGAATTATGGCTGTTTACAGCGCCTGTCACAGCCTCTGCATCCTCTATGATCTGTATATCAGTCTGACACAATATTGCTTCTCACATTCCGGCTTTTTACCATAAATTCCTGCTACGCTCCCTGCTCACGATGTGCTGATGCTCTGACCGAAGCACATCCTGTATGTCACTTCCTGGCAGTCGCTTTGACCCCAGATGACCTCTGGAAGGAGATTCTTACAGACGAAGAGAGCTCTTCAAAGATTAGTCATTAAGTTGCTGCTTAAGCGGCATCACAGGATGGAAGCTGCTGCAGGACGCAGCATCTGGAGAACAAAAAGAAGATTTTACCAGAGAGTAACATGAAAGTCTAGTTAGAGTGAGTTTAAGCCAATGGAAAACAATAAATCTCAAATGTCAGTTTCACGTAGTGATGGTACCATTGCTACAGATGTGCTGCTAAATGGCAAAATGTTTTAATAATACCTAAAAACTAAAAGGCTGGATTAACAAAGAAGGAATCCGGGGACTAGTGGTTCATTAAATGAAATGGTCAGTCAGAAACAAATAATTACTCATGCTAACTGCTATATGTTAGTTGCTGATGCTAAATGCTAATAAGACCTTATACCATATTTATCTAAACTGCTAACAATGTGGTAAAATCCTATTTATTCAATTTTATGCTAGAATAAAATGTTTTCATCACACCATTTCTAGGCATTAATTAGCTAATCATGAGCTAATGGTGATTAGCTCAATACTGTGAGATGTTAATGCTAATTATTAAAATAAATTTGAGGACCTCTGGTTATTCCAGGCTTAGTATTCGGGTAATTGAAAATCTTTCGTACATATTGCACCTATTCATGGATTGTTTTGTAGAGCATTTCTAAAATGCATCTCTGGAATCTGAAATAGGCTATCTATATGCTATGCTAGCTGACATGCTATTGGCTGGAGTTTCCAAAGCAGCCAATCAAGGAGAACCATTTATTTTCCTAGCGATATTTTCCAACATGTGTGTAAATGCACTTTGAGCTGTATTAAAATAGGTCATTATAAGTGCTTTTATGCAGATTCTGGTATTTTCATTTAAAATTATGGATTTATAAAATATTTTGACAGAAACTAGACAGGGTCAGAAGGTTGGGAATTGAACCCCAGATTTTCCTCCATAATTATGTTTACCAGCCAATGATGGAGCGCTAATGCTAATGTGGTAGCATGTGATAAATGGCCACATGTATGAGGATGATGATGGTCTTCTAAAAATGAGTGAGAACTGAAATAAAATCAGTTTCTTAACTTCTCTTGACAATTTTATTACATTTTGTTTAATCACTGAGGACAACTTAATGATTAATTTACAAGTATTGACTTATTTTTCTATATCTTAATTTATTTTTAATGTACTATAAGCTTATCAGAACCCAGTAATTATTATTTTTACATAAAATTTCAAACACATGAACACAGCCGGTATAATCAGGGACTGCAGTCATGTTTCCAGGGTTCAGCTAAATGCTTCATCTGACATCAGTTGTCCTGTGAAAACCAAATCTGAGGTGTTCAGTCTGACATTCATGGCATTGGTTTTATAAAACTAATTAAATCATGGATGTTTTTTAGTTGAGATCAAATTATTTGGCTTATGCATCAGACTGTTTAACTCATAAAGCTGCTAAATAAAGCTTCATGTTTTGTTTGTACTGAGACTCTTTGCTCTGTCACCCAGAACAATTCCAGTAAACTCCTGTGATTCTCCATCAGTAATATTAATAATTAATCCCCCAGTTAGAGTTCAGCATACGAACTGGGTGTTCTGGTTCTGATGCTTTGTTCTTCTTGCAGATTGGCTACTGGAACGGTGACGACAAACTGGTTCTGGAGGAGGAAACCCAGCAGCTTTCCAACGACACCACAGGCATGGACAACCGAACCGTTATCGTGACGACCATCATGGTAAGCTAGCACGCTGCACTCACTGCACTTTTTCTCTTTTCTCCAAAATTTGCTTCTTTTGAAGGTTTATATAAATTATTATTTCTGTGTCACGCCCTGATTGCAGCTTTTTAACTATAATCTGGCTGTAGCGATTCGTCAGCTTTATTAAATTGTTTTACTGTTTAGCGCACCTTGCTCCAGCTGAATGATTATTTGTGTTGTGCAATGCTCTTACTTCAACCAATGATTTGATGACAAATGCTAAGCGCTATTAGCGCTAAGCGCTGGAAAGAGACAGCTAACTGAAAACCGGAGTTGGAGTTTGACATTTGCGCGACCACGATGCTAAAACGCCTCAGCAGGAAACATTAGAGTTTAGATCGGCTCTAAAAAATCAGATTAATTAACTCTGGACACCTGAAGTAAACCCGACATTTTATTTTAAACCTCTATCAGTTTTAAGCACTCCCAAACATGATTTGCTCTCTTTAGACTTAGTAATGTAACGTTTCCTGTTTTTAGCTTTTGCTTAAAATCTTCCAGATCTACTTTGTCGCTTGCTGATAAAGAATAGCAGTGATGTGCAAAACATTTCATTAAAAATATATTTAAAAATCTTCAAGCTTTTCATTTTTAGCAGTTAAAGTGAAATGTTTTATTTCTCAACTATTTTTGCACCTTGACAGTTCAGCTTCCTCCCTCTATTCAGCCCATTTGAACAAACTGGTCCCCAGTTGGACAGGAAGGGACATGAAAGGCCTTAGTGGTGGTGATGGACGCAGTGTCCTGAGCCCAAACGAGCCCAGAAGAACCAGAGCAGAGGAGAGACAGCGGCCATGTTAATGGATCCCTGTTCAGAAACACTCAGAGCTGTAATGGAGTCCCAGGAGAGGGAGGGGGGATGCATATGGAGGGAGAAGCTGGCTTTGTTGTTTTTCAGAGGATGGAGGACGTCTCTTCAGTCCCAACGTCTCTTCACAGACACGCTCTGTGTGTGTGTGTGCATGTGTGTGTGTTTTTGGTCCTTTAGGTGTAAAACCTCATGTTTTTCTCCCAGACTGATGGATCCTGGTCTGTAAAGTAGCAGAACTGCTGTTTGCTCTAAATCTGTCACTTTGTCAGACTACCTGCTCTTACTTACAGTATATTACACACTCTGAGGACTCCCTGTAAGCCCTAAAACAGCTTAGAAAGACTAATGCTCCCATAATCACACCAATTCAGATCCATCACCTTCCTATGTAGCATGATTTTACTCTTTCTCTGTGGCGGCTTCCTTTCAGCGCCGCTTCTGATGTCGGATCAGCGTGTTTGTCGGTCGTGTTTGGAACAGACTTTGTGAAATATCCTGATGTTTCCTGTTTGTCTTCTGAAAGCTTAAACTAAAAGGAAACGTGATTATTTTATGATAGAGAAGAAATAATTACTTTGACATGATCATTTACTGTAACAGTTAAAATATGAAAGTGATCAAAATCATTTGGTCATTTTTGTTTACTTTTGTCATTGCAGAAATTACAGTTAATAGAAAATGTAATGGTGTAAATAACAGGTACATTTCACTGTACCTGTTAGGGTTAGGGTTAGTTTCCTCTCGTTAAACTAAGACTTTTAGTTTAACGAGAGGAAAACGAGATGAGTTCAGTTGATCACTCAGAAGAAATGAAAGCTTTGCTAAAACAAAGCTCTAGTTTTTAGTGGTACGATGTTTAATAGTTGGTCCCTCTGAGAGCAGAACCTGTTTGCAGTGAGGATGATCCCTGAGCCTCTGCAGCTCAACGCCTGCAGCAGCAGCAGCAAACCAGAGCCCAATAAACCGTTCAACAGCTTCATGACATAAAAACTGGAATAATGCATGAAGAGGCTGCTGGGTGAGTCAGCACTGTCTCTGTGTCGCCGGGTCGTTTGGACCGCCGGCCGTCGATCTGGTGCTGATTAGCACTCTTGACCAAACAGACCGTTTGTCCCGAACACAAACCCAAACACCGAACACGGACCCAAACAAGCCGGCGTGGCGCTGAGCAAACAGGTTCTGTTTTGTTACGTGTTGGGGTGTTGGTTTGGAACTGGATCATGAAGCAGGCCGGGTCGTGTGTTTGTTCTGGACGGCCCGTGTCTGGAGCCTCATTAGGCGGCTGCGCAGCATTGATTATTGACCAGGCTGTCAGCCATGTTGGCCTTTAAAGTGAAGACTGTGGAGGATCCCTCTCTCCTCCTGTGCCAGAAACACGGACCGTTCTGTCAGAACCACGCTTCCAGAAACGACCAGAACTCCGATCCATCCAGAACCCGTTGAAACTAACTGATGTAGTTTTATCTGCTTCAACGTATTTTATTGGGATTTTATATGACGGACCAGTTTAATGTGAAGGATGGTTTCTTACAAAACATAATTGTTTTCATTAAAGATTAAAGACGTCGGAAAGTCACTGACATCTGTCAGAGTGGAGAGGATTACAGGTCTTAAAATGTCTGAAATTCATTTTAAAAACTAAGTTTGCCTTTAATATCTGAATCAGATCTTCAGTTCTGTCTCTTAGTGCTTTTGTTGTTGTCGGGTTGGAAACTTTCCACGTTTTCAGGATCAGAAAATGTAATTTCATATGAAGAGCTCACAGTGTAAAGGCATTAAGTATTCATAAGTGAACATTTGAGGAAATAAAATCAACATACAGTAGAAGATTATGTATCCGTCCACTTTATTTTCTTCATGTTGAAATCTAAAAACAGAAATAAAATGACGGTTCATTAATCATGAGAACAAATATCTTTAATAGACATTTATCTAAAATTATAAGCAGACTTTTTTCATGTAACATTTAATTTATCTGGCGGTAAGTAAAAGTCTCAAACGGCTGAGCTGAAGCCTGGAGCCGGTTCTTATCGCTGTTCTGTGCTGTACCATCATTAGGTTCAGGTAATGATTATAAACACTCTAATCTCAGTAATCACCTTCGGAAAGCAGCAGAAGGAGTTCTTCTGACCACTTCCTGCTGGACTCTGACCCGGCTTCGGTTCTGTTCTCCCTCACTTTGTGAACAAACGTTGGAAACGTGAGCAGAGAAAAGCGTTGAGTCTCTGAGGAGACGCAGCAGTGGTCCCGATAAGACCCGGTCCGTGGTTCTGGTTCTCTCCTGCAGCTCAGATGTTAGGAACTGAATGTTTTGGGTTTGGCAGATCAGCTCCAGGAACAAACTGCCTTCATGAAGAGTTGCAGTAAAGCAGCGGGGAGATTTTGCAGTCACACCTGTAATGTGTCTCTAAATTAACCCCAGCATGAATCCTCCCGCCTCAGGAAGTAGACTGAGCCGCTCAGTAATTACATGGTTGGCGGTTCGACCCGGCGCTCCGTCTGTCGCTGGAGTGACCTTCAGAGGAACTCCGAAACCCAAAAGGTTCCCAATCGGCAGGAACGCTGCTGGTGAACTGTCGAATAGGAACCAATGAACCTCAGTCTGTTTCACTGGGATTTAATGCGACGGACCAACATGAAGCATGATGCCAAAACAGCCCAAAGAAAATTCAGGAATTCACCGGTCTCTCCCTCTGACGGGTCTCCAGTCCAAACTGAGTTCACCTGATTCAAACCGAACCCGAGTCTAAAGCCACGTTCACAAAACCCACTTTTTCACAACATTCTGGACGAACCGGTTTTGATCTTTTACCACAAAAAATCCGATCTGTTCCACTTCCGTACCTGGAGCTAAATCATATCCTATCACATTTATCCGTCATGAATAAAATGACGGATAAAATGACATTATTTATACAGATAATAACAGGTATCATTGGTAACAATATGAATAATGTGACTTTATTGATATTACTCTAAATAAAGTTATAATACCAGAATAAAGTCGTCATTTTAGGAGGAAGTAATTTTCTGAAAATAAGAGTAATGTTGAGCATCTTGTTAAGTTACACTTTACTGGTTTTGCAAATAAGGAAATATTCATCTTTTAACACATCAGATTATCAGTAGCTTGACATTTGACTGACATTTTTTTCAAACTATTGAGTCCATTTAGAAACTCCAGATTTGTTGAGCCAGCCAGATCTTACTGACTCTATTGAAGCTTTTTTCTCATTAAAATGACATTTTGCTTGTAACTTTCTGACTTATTTTCTGGTAGCGTTGCATCTTTATTCATCTAATGACTTTATTCTTGTCATTGAAAGAAAAAGATCTTAGCCTGACGCTAGTACTCCGTCATATAAAACTGATCTAATTAAAATTAAATTTTCTCGTTTTAATGAGTTTTGCGTTTTGTAATGACATACTGCTGCTGAATTTTCTTTCTACTTCTGGCAGCTAAAGGCTTCCATACAGAAAAGACTGTTTCTCTGTTTCACCAGTCGAATAAATGAAAACACAGCACACCAGCCTTTGTTGTGTTTGGCGCTCTGGTTTCACTGGTTTCACTGGTCTCATAGGAGGGTCCCTACGTCATGCTGAAGAAGAACTGGGAGTCGTTCGAGGGCAACGACCAGTACGAGGGTTACTGTGTGGACCTGGCCTCCGAGATCGCCAAACACATCGGCATCAAGTACAAGATCGCCATCGTCCCAGACGGGAAGTACGGCGCCAGGGACCCAGAGACCAAGATCTGGAACGGCATGGTCGGGGAGCTGGTGTACGGGGTAGGTGGCGCTATGGTCACTGGTTCTGTCCAGAGGTTAGCTAGTTGGTTGGTTGGATGGATGTATGGTTTATCCTACAGTCCCAGGTTTTATCGTTGCTCATCTGTTTGCAGCCATTTTGACATGTAAACGTTGAGTTGGGGGCGTGGCTTCCAGCAGCTTATTTGCATAAAAGTGTCAGAGCTCTAAAACAGGAGCTCAGAACTGAGGAGGTGAAATCTGATTTTGAGCAAAAAGTGTAATAATCATGTTTTGTTGAACTACTTCGGTTGTTTAACAGAAAGCATCGTTTGCCCCTATTAAACAGAGCGGGAAACCCCTGATGGCTGGAGTTGTTGCCACGGGTGACACGACCAGCATGACCAGTTTTCATCTTTGGATTATATTTGTCCAAACATACTTTAACATATTTAAAGTATGTTTGGTGATCTGAAATACTGAAAAGTGAGAACAGCCCCCCCCTGCAGGTGATTGTGGTGAATATATTGAATATTTTAGCATTAAAGCAGAAAATGGCAGAAGGTTAATGGTGGAAATGTGAGTTAGAACGGCTCTGTGTTTACTGGGAACATCCAGGGAAATTATTAACACTTTTCCATTTCTTCCCTGGAGAAGCTCTTCAACCCGGCGAGTTTTTAAAACACTAAACGCTGCCAGGCTGTCGTCTTAGCGCATTCTGCTGAGGATGTAAGAACTTAAATCTCTGCCGTTTTCTTTCCTGCGGCTCTGTTTCCCAACGAGTTGGACGGCCGTAATGAAAGTTAAAATGCTGTGAGAGCGTAAGCCCCGCGCCGCCATGGCTGCCGAGCCGTTCGCTGTAATCTGGTTTGTGGATTTTTTGCGAGCTGCTGAGCGTTTCTCCACAGCTGCAGAGCAAAGAGGTGACACACTGTCCTGCGCTCTAAGCATATTTCTCTGATTATTTTATCCTTCCTGCTGATTCTCAAAGTCGCAGCTAAGCCTAGGACTATTTTAAAGACTATTTTTGCTTTTTATTTCCTAACTCCCACTGACTTATCTGACAGCGTATTAAGACCACTGTCGATAGAAAAAAAAATATCAGAAATTTTGAGATTGATCTCAGAAATTTTCTAGACAAAACAAGAACATTTCTTGGCTTGAAAAATAAAAGAAATGCTATAAAAACTTTTAAATTAATTCAGAAATTTTCTAGGAAAAAACGTAAAAGTTTTTGAGCTTGAAAGGACGGAAATATATTAGAAAAAGTCACAAATTTTGTGATTAATCTTAATTAATTTGTCTTTGAAAAATTGGAAATTTCTGAGTTTGAAAAGTTACTTTAAAGTCAGAAAACTTGATTTTAACCTCAGAAATCATTTAGAAAAATAAAGTTGGAAAATTTTAAGAGTGGAATTTGAGTTTTTTTCTTCCATTTTATGTCTTTATTTTTTCTTTAATATTTCTGAGATTATTCTCAAATTTGAGGGGTTTTTTTTGTAGCAATTTTTCAACTTTTCAAGGTCAAAAATGACCTTGTTTTCTCAATTCAATTCAGAAATACTTTATTAATCCAAAAGGGAAATGAAATGTTGCTGTAACTCCATCATTCTTCAAAGATTTATTATAGATAATGAAAAAAAAAATAGATAAAAAATTTCTGAGATCATTCTTAAATTTTCTCAGTATTTTGGCAGATATTCTCTGTTTTTTTTTTCTACCACTGCCCTTATATTTATTTGCAGTTTCAACCTAATCCTGGCCTAATCTCGACCTAATCCTGACCTAATCCTGGCCTAATCTCGACCTAATTTCGACCTAATCCTGACTTAATCTTGACCTAATCCTCTTCCTCTTGCTCCCACAGAAAGCGGAAATTGCTGTGGCCCCTTTGACTATCACGTTGGTCCGGGAGGAGGTGATTGACTTCTCCAAACCGTTCATGTCGCTCGGCATCTCGATCATGATAAAGAAGCCGCAGAAGTCCAAACCGGGCGTGTTCTCCTTCCTGGACCCGCTGGCCTACGAGATCTGGATGTGCATTGTGTTCGCCTACATCGGCGTGAGCGTGGTGCTCTTCCTGGTCAGCCGCTTCAGCCCGTACGAATGGCACACCGAGGAGCCCGAGGAGGGCACCGACGGTCCGCCAAGCGACCAGCCCCCCAATGAGTTTGGCATCTTCAACTCTCTCTGGTTCTCCCTGGGCGCCTTCATGCAGCAGGGCTGTGACATCTCCCCCAGGTGAGTTTGCTCTTCCACCAAACTATAACCCAAGAAGAGCGAGAGTCGTCAAGCGTTTGCCACAAACTCTGCTCAGACGTGACCTCAGGCCAATTGAATTCACAGATTGACATCATGTCAGGCTAACTGCTGCTCATAGCGAAGCTGCTAACTGGAGACAAGCTAACAGCTAAACATAATGAAGATAATTGCTAGTTATAGTGAAGATAACTGCTAACTGGAACCAATTTAGTAGCTACTTGTGATTAGCATAACTGCTAACTGGAGATGGGCTACTTGTAATGAAGCTAACTGTAAACAAGCTAAAAGCAACTAGTTTTGAAGGTAACTGCTAATCATAGTGAAGCTAACTGCTAACTTGAGACAATTTAGTCGCTACTTGAGATGAACTTCATCCCTCAGGGTTTGCATGACCTCCAGTTTGACATCATGTCAGGCTGCATTATGTTGATCATACAGATAACTTAGCGCTCACTCTGTGCTCAAATCCCTGGCCTGTCAATCCAATTAAATCCTTCATCAAAATTTCAAACATGTCTGATTGACACAAGTAACAGCTGAGTGAATCTTAACACCCTGCTGTGATGAGCAGCAGTTTGTGGCAGCGAAGAAGAAGAAGAAGAACTGACGACAAACTAAATACTACTCACAGTGAAGCTAACTGCTAACTGTAGATACGCCAACAGCTGCTTGTAATAAATTTAATTGCTAATCTCATGACACTAACTGCTAACCAAAGCTACATGTGATGAAGCTAACTGTAGACAAGCTAACACTTGTAACAAAGGTGATTCACAGTGATGTTAACTGCTAACTGTAGACAAGCTAACAGCTACTTGTACTGAAGGTAATTATTATTTAAAGTGAAGCTACTTGGAATGAAGGTAATTTTTAGTCACAGTATAGCTAACTGCTAACTGTAGCTATTAGACAAGCTAATAGCTGCTTGTAATAAATTTAATTGCTAATCTAGTGACACTTACTGCTAACCAAATCTACTCGTGATGAAGCTAACTGTAGAGAAGCTAAAAGCTACTTGTGATGAAGCTCAGACCTCATCCCCTCAGGGTGTACATGACCTCCAGGCCAATTAAATTCACAGTTTGACATCATGTCAGGCTGCATTATCTGGATCATACAGATAACTTAGTGCTCAAATCCCTGGCCCGTCAATCCAATTAAATCCTTCATCAATATTTCAAGCATGTCTGATTGACACAAATAGGAGCTGAGTGAATGCTAACACCCTGCTGTGACGAGCAGCAGTTTGTGGCAGCAAAGTAGAAGAAGAAAAATCTGTGTTGTGTTTTAAATCCTTAAGGTTACCAGCAGTGTGTCTTTGTTAGATTGTAGACGTCTTGAGATGAATCCTTAATGTAGGTCAGAGATTATTATAACTGCAGCATAAAGCTGATAAGTTAACATGAGAATGTGAAGAACAGTTTGACATTTTCAGGAATACCTAGGGAACATGATAAATCTATTCACAATTCAGTATAGGGACATACTGTCTGTCTAAACAGCTGAAATATACAGTAAAACTGTGAAATCAAAACAAAGATGGCCGAAATTGGCCGCGGCTCAATCTGCTTGCAGCACTCAGAGAAATGTCAGTCTGAAGAATCTGAAAACTTCTAATGGGAGCAAAAATAAAAGTGAATGTGAGTAGCAATATGACCAGATACTCACATTGCTGCTCAGCTAGCTTCACTGAGTAGCATGTGGAGACAGCTGTTAGCTTATCTCCAGTTAGACAAGCTCCAGCTAGCTTGTTGATGCTAATTTGGGATTACGCTCCACAACATAATGGCGCGCTGTCAGCTGTTTTAGTTGCTCGCATAAGGAAATGCTACAGATTTGCAGTTTAAAATTGCCTCACATAGTATTTTCTTAAACTGTGAAGGTTTTAAATTTCAAACACTTACAGTGTAGGTTTTAGCTTTAGTCTCCCAGGTGAAATGCTGATTGTTTCTCCAAACAGAGATAAGTCTTGCTGCTGTCTGTTGATGGTAGGGTACTGATTATTTATACTTACCCAACATATCTCCAGTTTAAATGGGTAAAACTCAAAAAGAAAGAGGAACTGTATGTCTGAAATGATTACAGCTGCAAGTGATGTGAGATAAGGAGACGAGGAAAATGAGAGACGAATCAATGTGATGTTAAAGAATGAGTACTGAAATGTTTTCTGCAGCGCTGTTACATCAGATGATGCTTCCCAGAAATGCTGAACTCGTTCTCCTGTTTGAGAAGAGAGTTTTAAGTTGGTAAGGGAGTTTGCTTGTAGCTCAAAGTAAAACTTGCTTGTTCTGTGTTGCATTTTGCTGCAGCTCGTTATCGAACGTCCCGTGTTGCTCTGACTGATTCTGCTGGTTTTGGTTCGGACCGTCTCTGTACTTGTTGTTCCCTGCATGTCTGCAACTTCTCTTCTATTGTTTGAAGGCAAAGAACCCTTGGGATCGGCAGACTGGTTCCCAGTAAACATGGTGGAGGATCTGGCTTGTGCTTGTTGTTGTGCGGTAGAAGTCGCCTGTTGTTGTGACATCAGGCTTCCTGTCTGCGACGCGGCGAAGTCTTCAGACGGTTATAAAGCCTCTAATTCCCCACGGTTTCTCATTTGCTGCAAAGCCATCTCAGTGTGAATGGCTTTGTCAGGCTTAAACTTCCTGCTGCTGGTGCGCTCGGGTTATTTTAGGAGCGTCTGCTCTATCAGCGCCGTCCTGTGCTGCTGCTTCTCTAATGGCTGCTGTTGTCGAGCAATAGCGTAACGCTGGCAGATGAAATCAGCCCGTGTCAGCCGCGCCCACACAGGAGGAGACAACGTGGAGGATCCGGAGGTGCGTTAAAACCGTAGCTCACGTAAGCAGCCCGTACTCCAGCGGGTCGGCGTGTGTGATTAGGAGAACACCTGCTGTGCACATCCACCTGCCTCCATCCCACCTCCGCCCTCCGCCTGCCTTCCTGCAGATAACAGCCTTAAAGCTCAACAATGCTTTTCATCCTCTGCTCTGTTGGCGCATTCCTGCCATCACTGCTAATCTCATGACGGCCCCGTCCATCAACAGGAGCGCTCCCTCGCTTCTAGTTCACCCTGAAACCAGAAGGGACGAGGTCAGAGGTCAAAAACAATCACAAAACAAGTTACAGCTGCTGAGAGATTTTACCAAAACCTTCAAATGCACCCAGAAACATCTGTGAGAAGGTTTATGTGTTTTACATACATATAGTGTGTTTTACTGAAGAGCTTAAAATGTTGGAGGAAAATCCAGTTTCCAAGCTTGGAAACCCCCACTCTGCTCCTTCAGACTAGCCAGCAGCAATTAGCAAACGCCCTGTGGAGCTGCTATAGGAGCTACTGCTCAGTGCTGGTCCTGATTTTAGATTTTCCTCTCCTCACTGTAAACGGGACAAGTCGTTCCTGAAGGTGGAGTTTCATAAAGAGCCAGAGCTTTTAAAGAACAGCTAAAAGAAATGCATTTGGCTTGTTGAGGTTCTGATTAATTGGAGACAGATTTGTGTAAAATCGATGGACGGTGTAAAGAAATGAGCATCAGTGAGGGGGTGAATACATTCCCTCAGCTCTGTGTGGACCGGTCTGTGGTTCTGTCCCTCCAGGAACATTAATATCTCCTTCCTAATCTAGATCTTTAACTAATTTCTCCCTCTCTGACAGGAAGGGCGAACAGAGCTGGAAATAGTCTTCCTCTCCTTTAAATGCGGGTTACTGCCCCCCTCCGCTCCCTCCGGGCGGCCGCAATAATTAATTCAGTGATTAATATCCCGGTCTCCAATGGTTACGGGAGAAGAAGGGAGCTCAGATGAAACGGTGACACCAAAGTCCTTTTAATTGACTACAAATCCCAGCTGAATAGAGGTGAAGTTTTCCCTCCTGCGGCAGCATCAGGAGCTTCTCGCTGCTCCAGGTGGTTTCCTCCAGCTGACCGACCATCTTTCTGCTGAGTCATGCCGCTGCTCGTTTGCTCCTGATTAGTGCCGATTAGCTCAGATTGTGAAGGCAACGTTCCTGACGGCTGCAGATAGTCGCAGGCCAGAAGAAGAGAGGCGGAAGACTTTGAAGCTGCTCTATCTGTTCACGCCGCGCCATCAGTGCAATGCCAATTAGCTTTTGTTATCCACCGCCACAGCGCTGCTCTGCCGCATGGCTTATTGCTCATGTCAGCAGCCCCTCTCTGCACTCGCAGCGCATATTCTGGGCTGCTCTGGAGGCTCGCACTGGGCCTGGTTCACCGCTGGCCTGGAGCTTCAAAGACGAGCTCCAATTTAGAGCTTCTGCTTTGATATTCGGGTCCCAGTGCTAACGATGCTCTGGCTATGAAAAACAAATATGTATGGCTGATGTTTAGGTGCAAATATATTCTGGTTTTACTTAAAAAAATCTACACATTCCTGTTAAAATGTATGTTTTCTAAGAATGCATTCACACCAGCCATGTTTAGTCTGCTTTAACTCCAGTCCGTTTGTCAAAAAAGTCCGGTTCGGTTCTGAATCTAACTCTGGTCGTCTAAGCCTCAGTCTGGGTTCGGTTGAAGTGAACTCTGGTTCGGTTTGAATGCATATATGAATGCCAAGCAGACCAGAGACTGCTCCAAAAGGAACGCAGGGTATTCTGGGTAAATACAACCAAAACAAACATGCTAGCCTAGTGCTAACCTAGCATTAGCGTGTGAAATGGATCGTGGAGAAATCCTCCAACCGCTAAACTCTGACGCCTCCATTTCTGTTTCCATTTGGTGAAGAAGGAAGTATGCTCAGTGTCTTCAGAGGTTTCTGTGTCGTTTCCTTAGGTGGTTCTTGGTGCAGCGCCCCTACAGGTGAGGAGTGGAACAAGTTGTTCAAAGGGTTTGGTTTGACTCAGACCAGTGAGAAAGAACCACAGCAGCTGGAGATGGGACAAATGGTGAAGTTCTGGTCCCACTAGAACCTAATCTACTGGATCATCAGGGGGAAACACCTTTAGACTGTATTACAGAGGCCAACAG